TTCGTTGCTACCAACTTAAAACGACAGAACGTTAGATCTTAAATGATAACGATGTAAAGGTAATAGTATACCTGATAGAAGCTGAACTTCTTAAAAAAGAAAAGACAAAAAGATTTTTTTAGAAGTAGGAAAGATATTGTATATCTCATATACAATGAAACTTATATTGTTAACTGTATTAGTAGACTACATCAGAGACTAAACTGTAGTTTGACTAAAGCTTATGATTCAAATAATGATTACTACATCAGAGATTCTTTCCAAGTTGTTGAATTATTTAACAAAACTGTCTTACCACATAATTATGTTCTCTTCAGTCTAGATGTGGTCTCCCTCTTCAGTAATGTTTACTTAAATGCCGTTCTCCGATCTATTCGTAAACACTGGAATAAGATTTCGCAAGTGTGTAGCATTGATTATGATATGTTTATTGAGATTATAGAGTTCTTGTTTAATTCCACTTGCTTCTCTTTCAAGAACAAATATTATAAACAAACCTTTGACACTCCTACGGGAGCCAGTATCTCTCCAATTGTAGCTACATATGTAATGGATGATCTGTTGAATATTGTTCTCCAGGTTATTACTTTTAACGTTCCTTTTATTAAAAAGTATGTTGATGATATTATTATGTCGTTCCCACAAGGTTTAGAAACTGAGCTCTTAGACATTTTCAATAGCTATGACCCCCACATTCAATTTACTCTTGAAAAAGAGGATTAAAACAAATCTGTTCCTTTTCTCGACACAATATTTATCAGAGAACTGGGTAACATCATTACAATTGATTGGTATAGAAAAAAGTGTAACTCTACAAGATATCTCAAATACCATTCTTACCACAAGTCAAGCATGAAAATTAATCTAGTAAAACAAATGACCACAAGAGTTTGTAAACTAGCTGACTCTGTTTTTAGAAAGAAGAATCTCAACATCCTTTTACAGTTGTTCCTAGATAATTCTTACCCCGAATCCTTACTTAGGAAAATCATCTTTAACACATCCTCTGTTATACTCAACACACAAGTAAACCCTTCCCAAAATACAGGTGAATGAAAGTTACCTCTGATTCCCACTCACTGACTAACAATATTCCTAATATATCTTTTGCATCACTTCCATTTATTAAGGACGTCTCTCCCAAATTGACCAGAATTTTTGCTCAATACCTACCAAATGTAAAAATTGCTTATAACAGCACTCTAGTTGTGGTATCTCTGTATAAGTCATTGAAAGATAAAGTACTAAACTTAGATAAAAGTGATGTTGTCTACAAACATAATTGTTTAGGCTGTGAAGGTTCTTATATAGGTCACACCTCCCAAAAAGTTTCCAGCCGTTTGACTCTTCACAAGAGTGACATTAAATTACACCCTGATAGATGTTCCCTAGCCACACGTGCTAACACAACAGAGCACTCTTTCGATTTTCCAAATGTAAAAATCCTATCCACGGAGAGCAATTATTCAAAAAGATTGTTTCTCGAGATGGCTTTCATTTTGCAAGAAAAAGAAACCATTATCAATGTTAACCTTAGATAAACATGAATCTACTAATATAGACAATTCATGGTTAACAATATAAGTTTCATTATACTATATGAGATATACAATATCTCTCCTACTTCTAAAAAAGTCTTTTTGTCTTTTCCTTTTTAAGAAGTTCAGCTTCTATAAGGTATACTATTACCTTCACATCGTTATCATTTAAGATCTAACGTTCTGTCGTTTTAAGTTGGTAGCAACGAATTCACAACCAATTCTTTTGTTTCTGATAAGAATATTTATAACCAAAAAATTTTTTATTGTGACTACGTACACGTTTTGTAATTATTTTAACATAATTTTATTTAAATGTTTATGTATATGTGTTTTAAATATGTATGTTAAAGAACGTTTTTTAAAATCAATTTTTGGATAGTTTTGCCCATCGTTTGTAGGGGTCAAATGAGTTGCCAATTTCATTTGATAAACATCAAGACAACTAACCTCAATTTGTGTAAGATGCAAAGTAATTGTTACTCTGTAATTTGTACTCATTCTGTTTATTGTAGCACCCTGTGGATGCAAATAAAGATTTGAGAAAGCTTGGTTAACTAAAAAGAGTACTTCTTTGTCCTATCTTCCGTTGCACACCCAAACATTTGAGTTTTGTATTATATTTGATCAGCGTTAATTACAAGCGTTTACCGCTTTTTCAGTATATATATATATATATATATATATATATATAATATATATAGTTTATATTTATATTATATATAAAATAATAAAACAAAAAAATCCACACTCAGAATTCTGAAGGAGTGGACTAGAATTACCATCAAACTTGCTGCTTTGCACAATCAGAAGACCTTTTTATTGAAATGTAGATCTAATGGATGTTTCCCTGGACATATATAATTTAATTAGGCCTAGTTAATGTTAATTCCTTTTTAAATCATCGCACTGGGAATAATCATCATAATGCTCGGAATTTATGTGACAGGTTTGGAAGAAATATTATTAATTTAGAGATTAAGATTACTTTTGCTGGTATTAACTTTTTTGAAAGAAAATTTAATCGTAGAAAAATAATTAAATACAACACAGAATTTCATAAAATCAAAAAAAATACAAATTAATAACTTCAATAAATTAAAAATAGAAGCTTTTAATAAGATAAAATTTCAAGAAAAATGGTTTAAGAATCTAACATATATTCAGTTTCCTTTTGAAATTAAAAAAAATTTAGCATTAGGACCTAAATTTTCTTTATGTCCTTCCAAATCTGATATTAGAGTTCCTAATTTACTTTCTGATAATGAATCAATAATCAGACCACTTAATGATAATCAAAAGAATGTTGTTAGATCTAAATGTACAAACGTCATTACAAACTTTTTACATAAAGAAGTCAAAGATCATTTTTTAAATAAATACTATTTACAAACTAAACTTTTTCTTAAAAACCATCCTGAAATTTATATTGTCAAAAGCGATAAAGGTAACGTAACTGTTGTAATGTATAAAGAGGATTATCTACAAAAAACTGGAGAACTCTTAAATGATACTAAGTATTACACTACACTTAGAAGGAGTCCTATTTGTACTTTACAACAAAAAGCAAATTGTCTAGTATCAAAATTAAACAGTAAGAAATTTATTGATAATAAAAAAGCAAAAGAATTCAAAATTTATAATTCTATTGCACCACGGTTTTATGCTCTACCTAAAATACATAAACCAACTTTATCTATGAGACCAATTGTTTCATCTCTATGCCCTCCAAATGGACCAATAGCACAGCTCCTCACTGACATCTTAACCAATGCTTATAATTTAAACAACGGTTTTTACATAAAAGATTCATTTGATTTTAGTTCTTTCATTAATAATTTCCAATTACCACAAAATTATATTTTAGTTAGTTTTGATGTAACATCTCTTTTTACCAATTTACCTTAAAATTTAATTATAAGTAGTGTTGAAAAACATTGGAATGAGATATCGCAACATGCTAATATTGACTTATTACATTTTAAAACACTCATCAACTTTGTTTTTGATTCTAATATTTTTATATTTAGTGGTGTTTTTTATAAACAAATTTTTGGTAGCCCTATGGGATCTACTCTTTCACCCATTCTAAGTAGCTATGTCATGGATGATGTTATTGGTGATTGTATCAATAATTGCACTTTTTTCATTCCATTTATCAAAAGATATGTAGATGATCTGGTTTTGGCACTTCCTAAACACAAAATTATTGAAACAGTCAACATTTTCAACAATCATAATCAACATATACAATTTACAGTTGAGGAAGAGGTAGATAATTTTCTACCATTCCTTGACATGAGAATTGTAAGAAATACAGACAATATGTTGAAAACCAGATGGTTCAGAAAACCCATATGTAGTAATAGATTTATAAGCTATTACTCTCATCATCCAAATAAGATGAAAATGAACCTTATAACAGGATTAAAAGAACGTGTTTTAAAACTTTCTCGTCCAGACCATCTACAGGAAGATCTTCATTTGTTAAAAAATATTTTAATTGAAAACTCTTATTTATCATTTTTTGCTAAATCTCAAAACACTGTATCCAACAATCAGAACATATATTATCATGCACTACCTTTTATACCATCATTAACTCCTAAATTAAAACAAACACTAAAGGTTATTGACAATATAAAAATAGCAACAAAGAACATCAAAACCATTTCATCTTTATATTCCAAAACTAAATATCCTATAGACAAATTAGATCAAACAAATGTAGTATACAGCATTGGTTGTACTCAGTGTGAAGCTGAGTATGTTGGTGAGACTGTAAGAAATCTCTCAAATCGCATTATTTCTCACAAAAGTGATTGCAGAATTAAGAAACCATCTTGTGCTTTGGCAGAGCATGTAATAGACAAAGACCATATTATAGATTTTGATAATATTAAAATTTTATGTAGTGAAAGTAATAAATTTAAAAGAACTTTTTTGGAAATGTTTTGTATTAAAAAAAGTGATAATAATTTAAACAAAAGGTTAGAAATTCAAAATCTAAGCAAAATTTATAATTATATTATTTCTATGTAATTTATATATGCAATCAGTAAAATTTCACATTTTGAATTTTCCATGTATTTGTTACATTTTTTCAGGCATCTATCAATGGTGAATCAATCTTCTTCTTTTTTGTTACTAAACAAAAAAGAATTTTTTAAACAAAATTTTATTTTTGACAATATGTCAAAAATAAAAAATTTTAAGTTGGTATTTATGACATCGAGGCTGATTTGTAGCTATTCAATTTTTGTTTACAAATTCACTTGTTTTTGTTAAGAAACTTTATCAAAATTTATTTCAGAGAAAAATTTATTAGAATAGGGCATTTTATTATTTTACAATAATATTTTTTGTAATAATATGTCAGCAGCAGTTTTATAATATAAAAAACTAATTTTATTTGGTGAGTTAACAAAATTAATTTTATATGTGATTTTTTTTGTTTTTAAGACGTACCGCATTACATGCAGCCGCAGAGGCAGGTAATCATTCCGCTGTTTTGGCACTAATACAAAATAATGCTGATTGTGATGCTACAGATGTAGAAAACGACAATGCATTTCACATAGCTATGAGAGAAGGACATCTAAATGTTGTTAAAGTACTATTGACAGAATCTTATATAGATGTCGAGGCAGTAAATTTGAAGGTATAGTATTTTCCACTTAATTCTTCCTTTTTGGTGCCATATTAGATCCCCCTAATGTTGGAAATTATATTGGCGATTTGTTTGCGGTTTTCAGGTAGTCGAAGGCGACAAGGCGTATTTCTGTCAGTCTAATCGCAAATGTTCTTTAGTCATGACATCTGCTTCAACATTCCGTAGGTATAATATCTTTATTATCTAACAGTTCACGAACTATTAGCTAATTCACGAACGGTATTTGCTCTATAATACTGTTTCGTTGGTCTGTTTAGCTGTCTTGGGTATTGGAAACTTCTAGTCGGTTAATCGTATCAGCCTCCACAGTCCAGGTCTCGGTGCCATATAACAACACAGGTCAAATTTTTAGGTTTAAGTTCACAGTTGTCGTTGTCGTGTGGTTGGCGGCTGAGTATTAAATTTTGTCTTCTTCTTCTGGTGCACTCCATTACTGAAGGTTTGCGATCATTACATCAAAATGTTCTCTGTTCTGCGCCACTCTTAGTAATTGTCGAACGTTCATACCCGTCCAAGCTCTGATATGACATGGCTCTTCTGCCTACTTTCTCTTAGGCCCTCTATTTACTCTATTTACCCTTCAATATTCGTAGTAGGTTATATTTGTCATTTCTAATTATGTGGTATAGATACGAGGTCTTTCTTTTCTTAATCGTTGTTATAAGTTCTAACTCTCCGTTTAATTCGTAATGTGTTGATTCGTAATCCAGCCAACTCAGCTGAGTTGACTGGTTCTAAACATTGGAGCAGGGAAAGTATATGTTTCGAGCAGGGTTTCCTTAAAGTGATATCCTATAACATCGACCTCGTGCCATGACAATTTTATAATACATGGTTTTCATGTAATCTGAAGGTTATACCTCATTATATGGCCTAGGTACTAGGTCTTTCTTCTCTGAATCGTTTTTATAAGTTCTAACACTCTATTTATGCCGCTTAATACTGTTCGATTCTTAATGCGTTGATTCGTAAACCAGTAAACTAAACTGAGTTGGCTGGTTCTAAACGTTGAAGCAGGGAAAATGTATGTTCCTTTAAAATGTAAGTTCCTAAAACATCGATCTCGTGCCATCACAGTTTTATAATATATGGTTTTTATGGTAATTTAAAGGTAAATACATGGATTATTAGCTAGTTTCAACTACTCTCAGGATGTTTTACTGATGATGGTACGACTGGACTGAAAACGTTTTGATGAATATAATTCTAATCCTTTTGGATAAATTTAAATAATTTTAATAATAAAAATACACCACCGTACGTCAGAAGTCTTTACTTCTTTATAAGCATTCTTTTTTCTTTTGTATATGGAGTTAGCGCCTTTTTGCCATTCATATTTATACCTATTTCATTTGGGTTAAGTATTTTTCGACTCTTCACACTACTGTTAAATCATTCTTTGTTGTTTTCGTAATCATTTTTCCTATCAAGAACTTGTCTATCCCAGCGTGGAGGAGGAGTTCTGAATTAAGTAGGGACTCTTCTGTACTTCGCAGAAGACGGACGGGCGAGGGAGTCCTTAACCCTGACACGGCGCGTCCCACTGGCCGATAAGGAAATGTAATACAGATATGTAGGATAGGTATGAATAAGGTTTTACCAAATAAGCACCCGTGGACGAATTGAAGACATGACACAGGGCAACAGCTATGTCCTTACTTTCTACTTTTGACTTAATGACAGATACTCACGGGCTGATATCACATAATGATTCAAGCGGCCGTGATACTGCGATCAGGCAGGCAAGGGGAAACCACTGGATTATATTCCCGTGACTAAACCATCATGAATGTATCGAATCAGTTAGATATGCTTATCGATCGGCACTCAGTTGGTTCCGGGCAACTAGTGTCAAATGGGCTACCGGGCATGTGTTTGTGTGCAACCAGGCAACACATGCGAAAGTGACGCCTGGAAGAAAATCAGATTTTCAGTTAAGAAAAGCAATGGGAATAGCAACCTGGAATGTTCGAGGATTATTACCACCAGGCAAACTGCATATACTGCAAAGAGAAGTCGAAAGAGAGGATATAGAAATATGCGGACTTTCGGAGACCCATTGGAAAGGAGAAGGACACTTCCGAACAGCAGATCATGTTGTATATATATCGGAAGCAAATAACACAGGAAGAAATGGTGTTGCAATTATGGCGACTAAAAAATTTTTACAATACGTGTATGATTACCAACCGATAAATGATAGACTTATAAAAATAACCTTACTAGCATCACCAAACAAAATGCTCATTCTTTAGGTCTATATGCCAACCTCAGACGCGTTAGACAATGAAGTGGAAGACGTATACTGCGTTATTGAAGACACAATAAGAAATATTTCATCTAAAGAACCACTCATAATCATGAGTAACAACTCAAGGTAGGAGAAACAAGAAATGATAACATCCAAAATGTAGAAAACTATGCCTTAGGTATTAGAAACAGCCGAGGCGAACGTTTAATAGATTTTACAACCAAAACAGTTTGGCCATTGTAAACACAATGTTCAAACATCATGCCTGTTGTTTATCGACGTGGACCAGTCCAAATGGAGAATCCAAGAACCAAATCGACTACATATTGATTAGAAACACATGGAAGACATGTTTTACAAACGTAAAAACTAGAACAAGAGCTGAATGTGAATCCGATCATAAATTGTTATGGGCTTGCTTCAATATGAAGCTGAAAAGAACAATACCGCACCAAAATCAAAACAAGCTGGAGATTTCAAATCCGAAAACATTTAGAGATGCACTAAAGTAAACTAGTATGTTGAACACACAAGACAACCCAGAAGAAATGTGGAAAGGTTTCAGAAATGCCATAGAAACCTCTGTAGAAAGAACCAGAACCGAAAAAAAGATCATTAAGAGAAAACACTGGATAATAAACAGAACGCTGCAATTTCTCGAAGAGCGAAGGAGAATCAAATCTCTCATATCTCAAAACGACAGCAACAAAAACGAATTAGCAATGTTAAATAGAGACATTAAAAGAGCATGTAGGGATGATAAAAATAAACATATAAATGAAGAATGCGAAAAACTAGAGAGACATGCAAACCGGTATGAATCCCATGAGCTATATAACAAAGTCCGATATCTATCCAGGGAATTTAAACCAATCACACAAACAATAATGGATCAAAACCAACATATTTATTATAAGTGACGAGAAAGAGATTGCGGAAGTATAGAGAAAAAATTGCCAAAGTCTATATGCAGATGATCCTCAGAATGAAAATCACGACGAGTTCACTGCAGAGAGAGAACCAAACATTCTAAGTCAGAGGTAGAAAAAGCAATTAATCAGTTAAAAAATAGAAAATCTCCTGGTGCAGACCAGATAACCCCAGAAGTTTTAAAAGAGACTGGAGATGTTAGAGTAAATGTTATGCATATGATCTGCATATATTATTTTTATAAGGATATATTAGGGATATTTCATCCCTATATTCAAAAAAGGAACTCCGCCAGATTGCAGCAACTACAAAACGGTAATCCTAATATCCCATGCAAGCAAGGTTCTACTTTATGTAATACATGAAAGACTAAGAGCTTTTCTATTGCCTCAGATATCAGAAGAACAAGCGGGATTTGTCTCAGGAAAAGGCACAAGAGAACACATCCTTAATGTCAGACAGCTAATCGAAAAAACTCGTGAATTCAATACTCTTATGCTTATGTGCTTTGTGGATTACACAAAGCCCTTCGATAAAGTCAAATGGTAGCAGTTATACGGAAATAGAAATACCCCACCACTTAATTCAACTTATTAAAAGTCTATATGAAAATAATAAGTGCACAGTAAAAATAAACAACACCCATTCCGATCATTTCAGAACAGAGGCAGGTGTCAGGCAGGGATGCATAATTTCGCCATATACTATAGAGACTATAAAGTGTAAACGCATGCCAAAAATAGATCACTTGACAAAGGCACTCAGCCGAAACAACTGTAGTAATAAGAAGTTAAAATAAATTTTGTGTAAGTTTGAAAACAAAGTTTTCAGTTTTGTATTGATACATAAAATGAATTTCCATCAAGTAACTGTCGAATCCATCAATTATTTAATAAGAATGTTACCATATCTGGGACACGTAATGAGGGGACAGCGATATGAACTGCTAAGACTGATAATACAGGGAAAGATAAGAGGAGGAAGGAGAGTGTCATGTTTGAAGAATTTAAGGGACTGGTTTAAATGCAGTTCTATAGAACTCTTCAGAGCAGCAGTAGATAAAGTAAAGATAGTGATATCCGACCTCCGATTGGGAGACGGCACTTAAAGAAGAAGATTAGATACTTAAGATAGAAACTTTATGAAGAAATGGAATTAAAGCAGCCTATCCCGCATGAGGATAAAGGCCAAAAATGATGATAATATTCAAAATGGTATCCATCGCCTTCCATGCAATTATGAAGCTACTTTTTATTTTTTTAAAATATGGAAGTAATATCAAATTTGTATGCAAAAAAATCTCATATAATTACCGACACTATTATACACTTTCAAAACTTCCAATAAATAAAAAATTGTTTAAAATCCTTTATAAAAGGTATATAAAAAATGCCCCAAACGGGCTATCACAAACACATTGCAAAACGTTTTCGGATTGATAAATCCATCATCAGTGCAAACGGTTGTACATGCTAGTAGCCACCAAAATATATGGGTCAAAACCCTTTAAATGTTTTAAATTTGTAGTTGTTTTACATTATTAATAGTTACTATAGTTAGCCGTGCCAAGAGGAGGAATTGAAACCTTAATACTCCGGGAGTATTGGATTTTAGGAAGTGTAAGACTTCCAAATTCCAGAAGAACTGGAAGAGAAGTAATGAAAAATACTAAAAATATGGATAAGCTCAGAGGAACAAAGTTAAATGGCCAAAGAGACACTAAATCTCAAGTGAGTGTTCGGGCTAGCTTCAATGCACTGGATTGTGGTTTTAAAGATATAAAGCAGATAGCAAGGATAATGAGCTAATGAGACAAGAAACGAAATAAGACCTGTTAATATCAAATGTGATACAACTAAAGAAGGTCACTGGGAATAAATATATAGAAAGAGAACAATAAGAAGAGAAAAAGAAGGGCGCCAACTCAACGATAGTTGAGATTTTGAAGTAACAAATGATTGGAAATAAATTATTCTGGAGATAATAACCTGAAATACAAAATACTAAATACTAATCTTGTTTTGCTATATTATATACTGGTTAGTAGAACTGAAATAAAACTCAAAATAGTAACAATAAATATATTTATAAAAATGTGTATATCGATATATACGTATTAACAATTTACATATAATGCAAAACTAAATAACAGTGGCAGTGGTTAGTATAAAGATACAATAGGACCTAATAGCCCCTCAACAAGCGAATAGTCACTACCACTGGCCAAATAAAGTTTGAAATATGAATAAAAACCAAGAATAGTCCGTGTCATAGCCAAAGTCTTAACACTACAAGGTAGTCATTTAAATTTAACTAGTTCGACTAAAATGAGATACAAATTACAATATTGTAAAGATATCAAACTTGATAAATCTATTACAATTATATTATATATTACAAGTGAGTTGTTCCATACTCATTATATCATATTTAAAAAAAAAAACACATGAAATTTATTTCCCTTCCCCAATATCAAAATTCTATTATATCAAAATGTATTGTAATAAAAAAAAATTATAGCAAAAAAAGTGAGTTTGGTCAGACCCTTTACATCCTAGTTAAAAAAAAACCTAATAAAACATGAAAGGTATTTTCCCTCTCCCAATATCAAAATTATATTTTATCAAAATGTAGTCACTTGATCATATGCATATGAAAAGTTTACACTACTAAATAGAAAATAACAAAAAGGTTAGATAGTCAAACAACATATCTTTACAGCCCTATAAGAACATAGGAAAATTCCTCTTGGCACGGTTACATCAGTTTGTGGCTGTAAGGACAAACCCAGGAGAGTCTAATGTAGTCAAACCAGGCACTGGTCTATCTTCTCCGAGAAATCGGTAACTCCATAACCAAGTTGTAAACTATTCAAGAAATTTAATATTTTCCAGTGAATATTCTTAAATGAATATTGTCAAGTGACGGAATCTAAAAGGATTAATTATTAGATTTAGTTACTACTTTATTTAATACTTGTAGCAGCATAGATTGACTGCACCAAAACAAAAACATTAGCAAAGAATATAGGTCTATATTCTTTGACATTAGGTTAAGTCCAAAATGTCAAAATTTCCGAAGTTCATTTCGTAGACATGACAGGCGCAAGCGTACGAAAAACATTTAAAGGGTTTTGACCCATATATTTTGGTGGCTACTAGCATGTACAACCGTTTGCACTAATGATGGATTTATCAATCCTAAAACGTTTTGCAATGTGTTTGTGATAGCCCGTTTGGGGCATTTTTTATATACCTTTTATAAAGGATTTTAAACCATTTTTTGTGATATATGATATACAGCCAGCTACAGGAACTTAGTTTCCTAGTGGAATTTCCAATAAATAATATAATACGTAATATAAAACGAAAAGTGAAAGACTGAATACTTAATCGAAGCGTTATTTCATGATGTGCCACAAAATATAGATTCTATATCTAAGCGGTTATGGAAACTGGAATGATGGGGATTGACAAATGATAAATGGCCGTATCGGTAAAATGGTTATTGGAACAAAAATCGACATGTTTTAAGAAGTTTTCATTTATACACCGACAGTTTCACTTTCAGAAATCTTTTTAACATTTTTAAATTTTTAGGGTAGGAATCCTCTTCATGAATTGAGTAAATATGGAAAAGATAATGCAGCCACCATTTGCGCACTTTTGTTAGAATGTATTCCTACGTATCCAATAAATAATCCAGACATTTTGGTAAAATAAAATATACTTGCGTTTCAGAACATATAGTTAGTTTTTTATTTTATAGGGTAATTCACCTCTCCTTCTGGCATATATAAATGGAAACGGAAGTCTTTGCAGAGTTTTAGTGAAGGCGAATGCTTGTTTGTCTTCCGAAAATTCAGAAAGGATCACTATATTTAATTACCAGGTATTTAAATTTTGTTTTATACACTATGCTTATCTATATATATGAAAATTGCTCCCGGGAAGAAGCGCATTAAGAATTTAAAACTTGACTGTTTCCGAGCTTGTCGATTTCAGCACCCATTTTGGAGCCAATATCAAGAGGGATATTTTTCCGTTCGAGTTCGGGTTCTCAATCTGCCTACTCCTCTCACTTGTGACGTACCAGTATCTTGTTCTACGAGAACCAACAAACGGCACTGAGGTCTCAATCTGCAGTAGTTTTGAGTTTCTTGAACCGTACTATATTTAATATAAAATTAGTATTTCTTGGGTTTAAGTTCAATAAAATATATATTACATGTGGAACTAGATGTTATTTTCCATAGCACTCAACGTTTCGGAAGGAAACCCTTGCCTTTGTTAAGATTCTAAAATGTACATGTATAAGAACAAATAGTTATTGTAAAATATGTTTATATATGACTTACTAAATCGTAAAACAAGACACAGACATTAATGAACTGACAAATAAAAGTTGATATCTGATAACGCATGTTGAGGATTTCCTGGATAAACAGAATTACCAACGAAGAAGTACTACATAGAATGGGTAAAGAACGGCGAAGTAGTCGTAACCATAAAACGTCGCAAACTAGAATACCTGGGCCATATAATGCGCAATGAACAACGATATGACCTACTTCGGACCATACTTCAAGGTAAAGTGCATGGGAAAAGAACCTGCGAAAATGGTTTAACTTAACCACTACCGGATTTTCAGGGCAGCAGTCAACAAAGTCAGAATAGCCATATTAGTGTCCAACATCAGTAATGGATAGGCACCATAAGAAGAAATCTGATATCTCATGATTTACTGTCATTAGTATATAATTATTTTTATATGGTATAATATCATTGATGTTTTCGAAAAAGGTAAAGTGGAGATATGTTATGACTTTAAGTGCTTTTTATGGTGTTATGTTGATGTATGGTGATGTAAATGTGTTATGAAAAGACAGGGAAGATCAGTTGGAACCTTTTCACACTAATAACTCCAAATATGCGATTTTGTTAGTTGGAACCCTGTCATTTTAACCTAACGATATGTTGTACATTTTTTTCTTCTATCATGAAGTGTATTTGTACTCTATTTTCAAAGATATATAAGCAAAACGAGAATATCTACAATTACAATAAAAAATAAAGGTTTTAACACCTAGTTGGAAATAAGCACTTACTCATCTACTCAGAATTACTGTTATCACTAGTATCAGTTGTATCTTCTAAATTTATAGTTAATTTGGTTATTGTTGGTAAATATTTAACATAGTCATTTTCCACTGCGATTACATGTTTGATTACACTTTTCCAGTTGGTTGCTGTGACTTTTGTGACTTCTCTTCTAATTAACTGGAGAGCAGTAGACAAAAATTTAGAAGCCACGTTTCTTCTTCTTCTATTTCCTTCAAGTTGAGTTCATATTAACTCTATTGAGTTCAATTTACAATATTAAGGAGGAATTCCAAGCACGGTATGCCCATTACTGCGAGTACAGTTATCAACGACATATTCCTTCTGGTACTGTCTACTATAAACAACCTCCAACAAGTGCTTTTTACTATATGATTCCTCAAAGTATAAATCTCTCTCAAATAAAAATTCTTGAATTTGTAATTTGTTTCAAGTAATATTTGGAATTTCCTCAATAATCTTTAATGATATGATACGTTGTTCATGATAATCACACTATATTTAGGTAATCTCGGAAGAAGATATTCAAAAATTAAACTTTCCATATCCTCATGATAATCTAAAGAGGCGTCTTTAATTTTTTTTTGCAGATAACAATACATCATCGATCCATCTATTTCTTCTACCGCAGTGCAAAATTATAATTCTCTGTCCTGTCATGAGTATCACACCAGGTCTCATCTAAATAAACAACATTTCGTTTCATTTTTTAATACTCACTTATCTATCTGATAGAAATGTTTCTTAAAGAAATAATTATTTTAGTACTTTCCATTAGTGTTTGGTGCTTGTCTATAGTTTTTTACTTAAAATTATGGGTTTTAAGAAATCATCAAAGTGTTGTTGCTGAATATAAGAGAATATCCTTTCGAACCAGTTCACTTCGAAGGCTTTCAATAGTTGGAAAAATATTAGCCGCATCTATTTTGTATATTGTTCTGATTATATGTTTCTTTAGGTGCGGTTCTATTTGTGTGAATTAGAGATTGTGTGATGTAGACAATTTAGAACCTAATCCTTCATAAACATGTTTCAGTATATGTTTGGGATCATCAGAGATGTATTGAAAATGTCCCTTAAATTTTACTACACGGATTTGTAAAAATATTCCAATTGATTAGAGGGTTCCGCTGGCTCTTCAGCTGCAGAATTATTATCACACCACGGGTGCCACATATTAAAAGTATTTTCGTAAAATGATAAAGTTTACTGTTCTTTTACATATTTTTAAGTACTTACTTTCTGTTCTTTTACATGTTTTTACGTACCTTTTTTGTGAGTTTTATAAAAACTAACTTCTGTTTTTTTTTTCAAAAAAACATTAAACGTTTACATCTATGGTTCCTGAGTTGAACTTTTTTTATACTTGAATCCTCCATATCCTCATGATAATCTAGATTCACGTCGTTAATTTTTTTTGCAGATATTAATAATACATCGTCGATGCATCCATTTTCTACACCGCAGTGTAAAATTATAATTCTGTCCTTTATTGGGCGGTACTCAATTGGAACACTTTTTGTTATTAGTCGTCCAACTTTTTTTCACGGTGTCATGAGTACCATACCACGTTTCATCCAAATAAACAATATTTCGTTTAAAAATAAAGTTTAAAATAAAGTAAAATATTATACCTACTTACCAAAGTGTAAACCACTGGACGGTCGAAACGAAATTTATTCGGATAAACTACTATGGTTTCGGTCGCTCAGGCAAATATTTTTTATCTTACGCAAAGAATGCATCGATGATAACTTTATCTGGGCGACTGTACATATTTTCAAACATAATACCAGGCACATCTGAATGTAAATATCGATGAGCATATTAAAACTTTGTATTATTAGGTATACATCTCAGTCATTGATGATTTTGCAGTTAATAACTACTCCTGGTAGAGTACTTTTATTTTTATTTTTATTGCCTGCTTTTATTACAGATAAATATCTTTTTACACAGTCTCACCGAAATGTGAGGCGACTATACATTAAAATGTAAATGACTCATGACAGATTCTTTTAAGTCTTCCAGAACTAGTTGCGCAATGACACTAGAAATATTGTGGCAATATTCCACTTTTTTTAATGATGTCAGTGGCAAGTTTTTTTGGGATGTTAGTGTATAGTGAAATGACATAAAGATATTAATTTATAGTTATCTGGTACGTGAATGTTTTTAATTTTAGAAATAAGGTCATTATAATCTTTAATATAATAAGGATTTTTATTTGTGACATTAGAGATAATATTTTTCAAGAAATTTGAAAGATTTTCGAAGGGTGGTTGAATGCAGGAAACGATAGGACGTAGAGGTATATTCTCCTTGTGTTCTAGGTAAACCATAAATTTTTGGTGGAATAGCGTTGTGTATCTTAAGTGATTTTGCTGTATTTGGTGATATATATCGACTTTTGTCCCAACTGTCAATAAGAGCATTATTTCTTCTTTGGAAGATATTGGTAGGATCATTTCTAAGTTTATGATATATGGTTTCGTCTTTTAAAAGATCATTCATTTTATTGTCGTAATAATTAGATTCCATAATAACGGTTTTGTTAGTTTTATCTGTCTTTAATACAACCATTGTTTAAATAGTACTAGTTAGACAATCCTTATGGAACAAATGTTTGACTTATAATCTGCCGTCATGTGGCGGCCTCTAGTCATAAATTTAAAAAACTATTAACAGAGACTAAATTCTGTGCAGGATTCTACTCGAGTATATTTTTAGGTGTCTGATAACTAATTCAAACTTGTACACGGATGCCAAATTGTGAAGAAAATATATGACTTAAATAAAATGCTTATTGTTATTATCGTCGTATACGTCTTGTGAAAGATAACTTGACTATTTCGAGCGATTATTTCAAATTGTTTTTATACTTTGAGACTTGCTAAATTTAAATCGGTCAGTAATCTATTTAAATGAAGTAGATAAATGCTGCCGTTTTTTTTTAATTTTTATTAGTTTACCAGATATTAAATTTGGTTATATGATTTGTTAGAAAAGGATTAAATATTTAATCGAAATAGACTCGATTGCTATCGTCTTGGAACACTCATGCGGAGGTTTATTTTTTAGTCAAGACTAAAGAGATATTTGGTCAAGATTGTAAGACTTAAATTTATCAATTAAGTTTTATCATTGTTTAAAAAAGAAAATCTTTTTAAAAAGTGGTTTTATGTACGTTTTGTGTAAATTAAATTTTCTATATTTTAATCTTTAAAATGACGTTTGGAAATATAGTAATTTTATGGGTTTGGTTTTTTGATAATGGTTTTGAAACAATAAACAGATCGATATACCACAAGAGGCAACATATATTTGGGCAACATAAATTAATCTATGTGTTGGGATAAAAGGAATAATAATTAACAAAACTTTAATAAACTTTACCCTTTACTTTATTTACTTATGTATTTTATAATATACACACCATTTTTGTATTTTTGTTTACATAAATGAGAATGTTCGCCCGATCTGAGCTGTTTATTAATGAAATAATTTTAAATTACAAAGTGATAGAAATTGCAAAAATTAAATTCGCATTATTTTAATAGTTATATAACACATCAAAGTTCTAATATCTACACATAAACAATATTAACAAACTCATAATTCAAGGTAAAAAAACAAAACAAAATTGTTTACATTAATAGTTATAGAAATTGATTGTAACATTGTTAATGTAATCTCCTTTGAAGTGTACAATAATTATGAAATATTTTTTTATTGACCAATGGTGATAACGGCATATCTATAAGCTGTTCA